TGGAAAATGGTTTGGGTCTCCATTATTTGGGCGGGGGGGAAATAATGGAGAGGAAAATGGTTTGGGCCTCTATTATTTGGGCGGGGATGGGAAAATAATGGATGGAAAATGGTTTGGGTCTCCATTATTCACTTGGGCCGGGGGGGGGGAAGCGATTATGATTATTTTAGGGTGTGAAAATGATGGAAACGAAATGGTTTGGGCCTCCATTGCTTGGGTTATTGCTATTACTACTGGTACCATTACTACCATTACTGTCACTATTTCTATTACTATTACTAGACTAGTACTAGCGGCGGCGAAAATAATGGAAACGAAATGGTTTGGGCCTCCATTATTTGGGCGGGAGGGAAAATAATGGAGAGAAAATGGTTTGGGCCTGCATTATTTGGGCGGGGAAATAATGCAGAGGAAATGGTTTGGGCCTCCATTATTTGGGCGGGGGGGAAAATAATGGATGGAAAATGTTTTGGGTCTCCATTATTTCTTCGCGTGCGTCCTGTTGTGGGGATAGCGTAAAGCAGCAGGCTTCACATTCCGCTTGGGTTTCAATTGAAAGCTATATAGCAAAGCTGTCTTCATGTATGGTCCAGTAAAGCGGAGCAGGCCATGGGGAAGTACACGAGTGAAACAATATACTCGGAGGGTCAGAGGGACTGACGGTAGCTTGGTCAATAACGGGCATGGCTGCGCGTATTTCAAGGCGTATCGGGGCTTTAAAATGTGCTTGCCAGGTCCCCTTGACCCAAAACCCAGAACCCTAAACCTTTCAAGGAGGATTACCTAAACCCCAAAAGTATGTAAAATAATAGCCGTAAAATAATAGCCCTAAACCATTAAAAACAGCCCAAAAGGCTATTATTTTACATACTTTAAGGGTCCAGGTACACCTCGTCATAGTTCAAGTATGCTCTTGACTAGAGAGAGAGCTTTCGAGGTGCATGGTCTGACGGCACCGCCACAAGACCTACCTACAGTCAATACTTCCGGTAACATGGGTACTAACTCAGCGACCAAACGGGCCAGTTAGTGTTAGGGGGCGGAGCTGGGGCGTATGTTAGTACGAAGGGATTACTTGGAATACTTTGGGGCCTCTACATCCAAAACTAAAAACCTCAAACCCCAAACCCTAAACCCCTTTCCCTACACCCGAAACCCTGAACATCCTACACCCTAAACCCCCAAACCTTAAACCTTAAACCCGAAAACCTGAACCCAAACCCCGGGTTTGGGGTTCAGGGCCAGGACCAGGAGGTCCATGAGGTTGGAGCCCTGGGTGCACGCTTCTTTTCAGGGGGAATCTCTGTGACCATTGACACAAATTTCATGCTAGGGTTCAAGGTTTAGGATGTAGGGATTAGGGCTCAAGTATTAAGAATTACGGTTTTTTGGGTTCTAGGATTTAGGGTTAATTTGGGGTCTCAGGGGCTATAAAAATACGTGCTTGTAAGGCTTTAGGGCGATGCATATATACATATCTAAGGTTTATGGCCCACAGCATTCTTTTGCTAAAGCAGGTTTACCCAGGAATGTCCCAGTGCAGGGGTTCTGTTGGAGGTATATAGCTGGTGTTTTGGGGAATCCTTCTAAAGGATCCAAGCTGAGTTTAAGCATCCAACTCAGGACCTTTTGAAGCATAATCTATGCTTGGGCCCAGAGGGGTTCCTATGTTGGCACTGTTTGGCCTAAGCATTTACTGAATAGGTACCCGGACCCGTTCGGAATGGTCAACCATGCATGGCATGGTCAGTGACATCTCATAACCCCTGCTGGAAATTGACGTGTTTACATGTGTCGAAACTTCGAGTCAAGGCCTATTCAAAACTATTCCGGTCTATTGAAGATCACAAGCTCCCAGACCCTACATATGCTTATGCACCCTCATTACCCCTTTGCAAGCCCAATAACCCCCTTCAAGGGGCCCTCAAGACCTTAGTGCGCTACATCAGCGGTGACTTGCTCATTGGCACCGTGTGACTCCAGTGCGAGGAGATGCTGGAAAGGAATTTAAGGTTTTAGGGTTTAGGGTGATTTGTTGAAACTATCTCCCAAATATCAACAAGTTTGGCCTTTAACCCCAGGTACGGAAACCACAATTACGGATATTTCGGAGGTCGGTTATGGTATTCAAGGGGCTAGGGGAAGTTAAAGGCCCTAAATCCTTCACCCTAGACCCTGAACCCTAAATCCTCTGTAAACCCTAAGTCCCAAAGTCCTAAAGACCAAGGAGCACTCTTGGACTGGTTGACCTTCTTTAGCAGGTTCCGCAAAGCTTGACGTCGATCTGGTATCTTCCTGTGGTACGGTGCGCACTGAACTCTGCTGCATGACCCGAAGTACCTAAACCCTGGGAACCATTGTACTGTAGCATACCCAGAATATGCAGGAAGCTTGGGCATCAACAGCGGGGGTTCATGTTGGTTGTAGGGTTGCTATGGGATCAAGGGAGCGTTACTGTTTCAGCGGTACACAGGAAAGGGTTTTGTCTTTGCAAGCCTAAAGCATAAACCCTTGAAACCTTCAAGCTCGTGCACGAAACGAGTGACGCTTGCACTAAGGCCTCCCCACCCCAATCAATCAAGGGTTCGGTTCCCCTAATGCAGCCCTTATATGAGCAAATGTAGTCCCCTTAGGGTCCCTTTGACGGATAAAAAACCCAGGGCTACAAACTTAGAGCACAAGCCTGAAATCCTTGAATCAAGCGTGGGACCCTAAACTTTAAATCGCGCGGAATGTGTCAGAGGTCGTAAAAAGCCCTTTTCAGGCTGATAAGAGGCGTTTGGTAACCCCCAGAACCCAAAAGAAAGACTTTATGAGTATGACACGACTCCTCTAGCCTCCTAATCATAGCGGAGTACCAAAATCCTCTTGCTCCCTATAACAACACCTATACATCTGCCTCATAACACCCCTTGTTCTACTACCTATCTTCCCTTTGCTTCCCTCTGACAACACCCAGATATCCATCAATACATCCATTAGAATTATCTATATTCCCTTTGGAGTTACCGAAGCCCCTTGAATTCATGACACCCATTACAATGATACCTATATTCAATTTGGGGGGGTACCTCAACTCTAAACCCTAAACTCTGAAGTTCAACCAGGCATCGAGCCAAGCAAGATTTGCAAAGGTGGTGCAGCGCCAATCCCCACCTCACAGTCCTGAGGCGGTTCAGACGATTTAGGGTTCAGGGGTTTAGGGTGTTGTAAGGGATTGTAATACCATCTCCCCAAAGGTACTTTGCACTGTACCCCCTCAGGATTCTAAATCTGGGGGGGTTATCCTCCTAATGTCCAGGGTTTTGCAGGTCGGGGTGTACTGTGTAGGGGTTACCCTCATAAGGCACAAACATATCCATTATACGGGAGTTTTCCAAAACAGGAGCCACCCAAAAAAAGACACCAAAATAGTACAGTCCTCATGATAGGTACCCCCAACAAGCAAAGAAAATATGTATCGGACATGTATCTGTAGATATCTATACACGCATATTGCAGTAGCTAAGCTTGAGTTGCTGAACAACACCCCGCTCCAGCGTTAGGCAAAAAAGCTTCTTGGTCCCCCTTTCACCCCACTGAGACTCAAATGTTCAGCCTCCCTTAGTATGAAAAAGAGGGGCCCCACAACCATTAAAGTGCTAAAGTTATAGAAACCTGCCCCCCAAAGGTGTTGAAGTGCTACAGGTATAAGAAACTGCTTGAAGCGTAAAGCTTCATGAGCTTGGGGAGAGAGACAGACACAGAGAGAGAGAGAGATATATATATATATACATATACATATATATATATGTATATATATATACATATATACATATACACCTATAATATTATTAATCCCCTATATGATCCGAAGGAAAGCCCTGAACCCTAAATCCCGATCCCGCAACCGAGCCAAGGCGCCGAGTCCAGCAGCTTCAGCTGCGGATACCTGGAGGTATCTCCAGATTGGGGGGGGTAGCTTTAGGGCTAAGGACCCCAAAAGCAAGGCTTCAGGGCCCAAATACCATTCATATTATGGTACTTTGGCCCTAACCCCATTATTTCGGTCCTTGGACCTTTAGGGTTTAGGGTTTAGGGGGGTTCACCCGGATGTCTGGGTTTGGGGTTTAGGGCCTGGAGTGTAAGGCTTAGGGGTCGGTTTTGGGGGTGGCTTAATCTATACTACGTAGGGGATACTGTTGATCCACTGTATTGCGGACCCTGAAACATTTCTAAAGGTTAAAGTTTTCCTCAGCGTCCCCTTCAACCGTAGCAACGGACTTGACGAAGAACGCCCGCCATCTCAGGAGGACCTCGATTCTAGCCACCCCCTCACCTCTCAAGGTGTACGAGTGGGCGCCTTTGTTGACGTAGCTGCTTTGTGTGTACGCCTCGGGCGGTGGCTGCAGAACTTTGAGGTTGTACTTGCCGTGTCACACCTCATGGCCGGGTTGTCATCGCCCTGGCCTGTCTCCTTCTCAGGATTTAGGGCCCTTTGGGACCGGACAATATTTTTTGGGTGATAAGGGGATTCTGGAGCTGTTCATGAAGGATTCTGTCTGTGATGTGGCAGATTTTAGGAAGACCCTAATCCCAAAACCCCAACCCAGGATTTCACGGGGCAAGACGGACCTATACAGGGCGTAATCAGATTTAACGAGGTGTGATTGGGCTCTAAAGCTTTTAAAGTTCTGAATGCGGTATCACAACTACATTTGAAGGGGATTGGGGGATTTTGGGATCTGGGTTGTCCAAAAAGCTTCCGTGTGGTCTCTTCTTCAGCTGTATACTACATTTCGTGGAGAGAAGAACCATGACAAAAAAACAAGGCTTGGGTTTAGGGTTTAAGGTTTATGGAGTTTTAGGGCCACAGGACGGTTTCTCAAGAAAGCGTACCCTACCGGATCACAGAGACTTTTTGGAGAACATGAGAAGATTATTGGGGCCGCATTGAAGAATGTAGACCTCATTGTTGAGAAACTCACATCCCAAACTACATGGTCAGGATCCAAAAGCTCTTAACCTGCTTCAGGGCAGGCAGCTGCTGGGGCGGAAGGGGGGGGGGGGCGGGGTGTGGGGGGAAAGCAGCTCAAGGCCTCGCTTAGGATCTGTTCGGCTTTAAGGTTCAGAGTTTAGGGTATAAGGTTAAGGGCTTAGGGTTTAGGGTTTGGGGCTTGGGGTTTGGGGTTTTGGGCTTGAGGTTGAAACTCGAACAGGCCAACCAAATAATGAAAAGAAAGCTTGCCTCGGAGGATCTTGGGACGGATTGCTTACATAGTTCGAACTGGACATATAACCTCACTTCTTGTGGGGTTACCTACATAAGTCCAGTTAGGGGTGTCATACAAGTACAAGAGCTCATTGACCATGAGCTTGTGCACAAAAGAATATCTTGCTGCCTTGTGTAGGAGTTTCCAAAATGGCGGGGAGTCCCAATATAGACACAAATATAGTATATTCCCTACTCTGGGACTCCCAAGAAAGACCCCGAATTTTGGGAACTCGCCGGAGAGTCGTGCAGTTGCCGTGCGGTTTGGCGTAACACATGTCTTGATCGACTGGGAAGAGCACAGCTTTATAGGCAACTGCTACTTAGATGGGTATGGAATTAGCTGAAAGGCTGGTAAATGCGGATATAAGGGATTATATGGGGATATGTGGGCTTTTAAGCAGAAGTACTGAGCTTTCGGCGAATCCCCCGGCAATCCAAGTAGCCATAACTTGAAGCCATGCGCAGGCTGCACAGCTGGGAGCTGGGAAGTTATCAGGAGGGCATTGTCCAGGACAATCCCAGAAGGACTTCCAAAAGACGCAATGCCTTGCTCCGAAGATGGAGGAGACCTCCATCATAAGTAGGATTGCTATAGAAAGCCTAGATAAGGTAGTTTCCCAAAATAAGGGGACCCCAATATCGACCCCAATATATATCAATACTTATCATGGGGACCCCCCAAAAAAGTGCCCCTAATTTGGGAAACCTTAAGCCCTAGGCCCTATATAAACCTATAAAACCCTAGAAAACCCATATAGCCTCTTTCAAGGGACCCTGATTGTCCCACATAACTCCTGTAAAGCCTAGATATGGGAGACTATGCAACCTTGAACTTCCTACCAACCTGCGATGGGCTACAGCCAGCCGATGCTACCGGTTTAGGTTTAAAGGGTTCGCTAAGCCCAAGGTGCGCAAGATCGATGGGAACAGTTAGCATCTTGGCCCAAGTGTCGCCGCAACCTGCAACAAGCATGGGACCCCGTGCACCCTACCCGAAGCTGATGTACAACCCGGATGTTGACCTGGGTTAAGGGTTTAGGGTTTTGGGCTGAGAAGGCTGGGGTCTTTCCAACATGAGGCTGTATGATACAGACTATATGGGTTCCGGGTTCCATCGGATTCCATGTCGTTTTAGGGTAGCGTATCAAAAGCCCTTGTTCAGGCTTTCTGAGTCACGATCGAAGGTTAGATTCTGTACTGCAACTTATAGTAAATTTCATGTGCAGCTAAATCCTCCAGCTACCCTTTATGAAAGCCTAAGTCTCAGGGGCCATATGGTAGTTTCCCCAAATAGGGGGACCCCAATATAGACCCCATATATTATAATTACGCGGACAATCAGAATGGTACCCCTAATTTTAGGAAACCCCCATATGTCGCCAATCAAGTACAGGCACTGGAGCGTCTTAGCACTACCAGTCAGTCTTAAGGCCTGCATAGCTGCCCCGAACTAATTTCTAGCTTAGGGACGCTTCCGCGTAGAGGTTAAGGGGTAAGGGTTGAAGGATTGGGGTTTAGCATTCAGGGCTTTAGGGCTTTAGTTTAGGGTCAAGGCATTCTTATTGGGAGTTTAATGAAGGTTTCCCTCATGTTTAGAGCAGCCCTAAACGAAGTCAAAGATACGCAAAAATCTAGCACAACACCCGTTTTATACGTCCATGGGTAGGCATCTCGGGGTAAGCTTGTGGGGTCAACCAAGACGACAAAGATCTGAAAATCAGTAATAAGGAAGCCCCATCATGCTGAACATCTCTGGCAAGATGAAATCACAAACCAAACTGGGAATTCCCGAAGCCTCCGTCGGTATGCGACGGGTTAGGTTTTAGGGTTTAGGGTGTTTCCAAAGTAGTCATTAGGTTGCCCAGACCACGGGCGCTTCTACCTGCTTGCTAGTTGCAACTTGGGTTCTGCCTGCCTAGCCTTAAACCCCCATTGACTATAAACCAATATTCAGCCCCGTGTCCATGTCATTCTCCACTTGATTCTGCACAATCCTGCGTGAATACACAACCTTAAATCAATCTCGAGCTGTGGGCTTGCCTTCGGTGTTCTGCACCATCTGCGCAATCTCATGGAGCTTGGCATATGGTGTCTTGTTCTTGTCCTGACTCCAAGGCTACAAGATTCTATATGGGATATACCTGGGCGCAAAGTGCCTAAACAGGAAACCCTCGAGGTCCTGAGCATGTCCCGGATGTGTGCCTGAACAGGTGAGTGAGTCGGTGCTGAAGATGCAGTACATTCCTTCACAGCACAGGCGGGTCCTGCAAAAATCGCACCCCCTCACCTGCAGTTTACACCAATGCATGTCCACCTGGGCAGTTCACCCTGAGTGAAGCCTTCGTTCACGGTAGAAGCTGCAAAGCCCCGGAACCTCAAAAGCGCAATTGCGACCTACACCACAGAGCCAAAACCCAACGGACCAGTACACAGATGTTTGAAGACTCCGGGTACATCTTGAGGAAACACCTGAGCATCGGTACCGCAACGAAAGGAACTACACGAGCAACCTGACGCTAAACCCTAGATCGTTAAACAAAGCCGAAGCCTCCATTCCCCATATACCTCATTCCCCAGAATAGGAAGAAAAAAGCGCCCACCCCTCCGCCCCAAAAAATGCACAAAAACCAGTATTCCATATGCTTTTGGAGGTGTTGGTTTTTCCTAAAACCGAAAAAACCCTAGTCCCCGAGTCCACAAGCTTACCGATCGATCCTTGACGATGGCAAACGCCTTTTCTGCCACCGGCAGCAGTCGTGCAGTCCTGGCAGACTCGACGTCCCAAGAGCCCGAAGGATTGTTGAGGCTTTAGGACTTAGGCTTTAGGGTTCGAGGGCTTGGGATTCAAGTTTGAGGATTTAGGGTTCAGTGTTTAGGGTTCAGGGTGCTGAGACTTGGGTACCAAGTTGTGGGACAGGATACCTTAGCTGCCTACCATCTGGGCGTGTATGCGGTTTTTACCCTGCTTGCACAAGTGCCAGCAGGCTCTGTTGCATACCTGCTTCCTGATCAAAACACACAGAATCCGCAAGACGAGCACAATCAAAACAACAAGAAGACGTTAATGATAAGTATTGCATCAGTAGAGACCCACGCCCCCAAAGAACAGGGCTGCATGAGGTCACATGAGTTTTTAATAATCCTAAAGCTTGAATTGGCGCCATGCTCTTGCACCTCCCCTAAAGGTCGAAGCACCTAGTAATCATATACTTACCCAAAACCTGCTCTATAAATACTGTGACCAAAACCCTAAGTACCCAAATAAATATTGGGTACATGGACCCTTAGGGTTCTACACCAACCACCAGTTGAGGTGAGGTCTTCCGAGATTGTCAGAACCTGCTCAATGATCACTAAATGATGTGGGAGTTTCCCAAAATAGGGGTGCCATTTTGGAGGGTCCCTATAACAAGGATTATAATACATTGGGGTCTATATTGGGGGCCCCTTATTTTTGGGCAATTACCGTACAGATGCCTGAGTCACGAGGAATAATGTCCCCTTCTCCTGTGGTATGACTGCAGTGTGATATACATCAAGAACCTATTCTGGTTGTTTAGGCCCGGCCGTCCATACACTCCCTGCAGATTCACGCCCCATTGAACCGTAATGTCGATTTCAAGATTCAGCTGATCTTCCGCAAAATTCTCCGTAATTCTCATCCACAGGCCCCTACCAGTATGGCACTTGGATGCGTAAGGCGGGAGAATTCCAAGCCCTGACTGAAACCTCCAAGGAGATATACGGAAACAACTGGATGAAGATGAAGAACCCTGACCCCTAAACCCTTCACC